GTGTTCAAGTCTGTCCAGATCCTCCTGTATCCTAAGCCTGTCTTCTGGAGTGTTGGCTATTCCTGCCAGCTTGGTGTCGTCTGCAAATTTGATGATTTCCCCATCTATCCCCTCGTCCAAATCGTTGATGAAGATGTTGAAGAGCACTGGGCCCAGAACAGAGCCCTGGGGCACCCCACTACACACTTCCCTCCATGTAAATGCGGTTCCATTGAGGACCACATGCTGAGTACGGCTGGTCAGCCAGCTACAGATCCATCTGGTGGTGATGCTGTCTAACCCACATTTTTCTATCTTATCAAGTAGTAGGTTGTGATCTACTTTATCAAATGCCTTACTGAAGTCCAAGTAAATTATATCAACAGCATTCCTCTGATCCACTAATTTTGTCACTTGGTCAAAGAATGCAATAAGATTTGTCTGGAATTATCTGTTTTCGACAAACCCATGTTGGCTTTTAGTAATGACTTTGTTTGCCTCTAGGTGTTTGCTGATCCGTTGTTTGATTATCTTTTCCAGAACCTTCCCAGGTATTGAGGTCAGGCTGATAGGTCTGTAATTTCCTGGGTCCATTTTTTTTCCTTTTTTGAAGATGGGAACTACATCAGTTCTTTTCCAGTCCTCCGGTAGTTCCCTAGTGCTCCAGGATCTTTGAAAAATATAGTTCAATGGTTCTGAGATCACATCTGCCAGTTCCTTGAGAACCCTGGGGTGTAATCTATCTGGTCCCGGTGATTTGAACTCGTCTAGGCTGGACAGGTGTTCACTTGCCATTTTCTTGCCTATCTTAACTTGTGTTTCTATCTGTTTTTTTATGGCACTAGTTTCGATAGGTTGGTCTGTTTTTTCCCTTTGATGCAAAAAACGAGTTAAATAGTTCTGCTTTCTCCCTGTTGCTTGTCCCCTTCTTGCCACTTTCCCCCACTAATGGACCAATCATTTCCTTCACTTTTTTCTTGTTTTTTACATGTTGAAAGAAGCTTTTTTTTGTTATTTTTGACTTTGGTCGCAAGCCTTAGTTCATTTTGAGCCTTGGCTTTCCTCACTTCATCTTTGGAGGCTTGGGCTATTTGCTGATATTCTGACTTAGTTATGTGCCCCTCTTTCCACTTTCTATACTTGTCCTTTTTATCTTTCAATTTGTCAGAGAATTCTTTATGCAGCCATACTGGTTTCTTTTGAGAGCTGTTATTTTTCCTCTTTGTTGGTATTGTGCTAGACTGGGCTTTTATTATCTCATTTTTCAAAATTTCCCAAGCTCCTTGAGTTGTTTTCCCCTTGAGGATTCTCATCCATGGAATCCTTCCCAAGCCCTCTCTAAGTTTATTGAAATTAACTCTCTTGAAGTCCAAGACTCTAGTTTGACTGTGTTCTATTTCTTGTGCTTCCATAATGTTGAATTCCAATATTGCATGATCACTTCCTCCCAGGGTTCCTATGGCTTCAACACCTTCTATCATTTCATCTCTGTTAGTGAGAATTAGATCCAAAATGGCTAATCCCCTAGTTCCCTTCTCTACTTTTTGGGAGACAAAGTTGTCTGCTAGGTTTGCCAGGAACCTATTTGATCTTCCACT